ACAGTGCTTGTTGGCTGAAGAGCTACAGTTAAAATTAAAGATTGAAATTATTAAAAATTGAAGGAAATTTTTCACTTAATTGGTACTACCACTTTTTTCAGATAATGTTTTCCTCACAAAAAAAAAAAAAAAAAAATTGCCTCTAATATTTTTTCCCTTTTTTGTTCATTTTTAGTCTAAAAAGAAATCAATTTTGGTTATGGTGCTTTAACATGTATGTATACACATCTGTGCACATGTGCATATAAATGCAGAACTATGATAGCACTAAATATAGAGTATTCTAAAGTGTTGTAGAAAGGGAGTTTTGTATGGGTGAAGGGTTTGGGACTGTAAGCTAGAAAATCAGGTTCTAGTTTCAAACCTTCCTTGCACTCATTTTACAATATCCTTCAATATTTCTGTTCACCAGTTAGTGCCCTTTATGTCAGTAAGTCATGCCTGCCTTCACTTAGTAAATAAAAGTATTGGGAAATTGCTAAGTAAGGTCAATTATCATCAAACTGCTCCTTGACCTAGAGTATGAACAATTGAGGTATAGGAAGGGAATTTCTCAAAGCAATTTCCAAACAGTCCATGTTGGTGTTTTCCTTCCATCTAGTGCTACCCTAAGCAACAGCATGGAGATGGTCTAAGAACTTATATTATTAAATTAATATAACTCTTTTTAATAAGAGATGATATACAATAAAATGAGAGGAAATTTAGCAGAATAATGTCAAATGGTTTTATATTGTTCATCACTGCAGAAAGAGTTACTCACCATGACAAAATGGATTTGTTGCTTATAATAACTGACAGTGAAACCAAAAGCACTTTCAAATGGAATTATGAGTGTATAATCATCGCAGCACCATGGATGTAAAATGATTTTGATTGCTGGCTTGCAAAGTAGGTCCCTAATGACCTCTGCTAATATGAAGTGTCAGTTTTACAGCTGATGGCAGTGTTAAAGATGCAGAATTTCTTTCTCTTTAGCAATTTACACTTTACTAAAAGGTATACAAATAGATTTTGATCTGCAAAGTGGCAGCATGTACTTAAGAGTCAAAGTAAAAATTTAAGAGAAGTGACTTGTAGGCATAGGGGAGTTGGTAAATGTTGGAGACAAGTGGGTGCTGCATTGCCTATGGGCTGTGGCAAACTGCTGCTGGCACAGCTTTGGAAGGGGCATTGCAGCATAATCACACTCATTCTTCTCACTTGTGAAGCTCCTGTTCACCTGAAGCATGGCTAGCACTGAGATGCTGAAATGCAGATATTCCCTTGTGCTAGTTTTGTTCCATGTACTCAGCATTCAACAAAGACTGATCCAGAAAACAACAGAATATGGAAAACAAATATTATCAAATATTGTCCCTACCTTTCATCAGCATAACTCTTCCTCCAGAGAATACCAGCAGCTCCACTGGTGTAAATAAAAATACCCTTGTGTCATGCTGTGGGTGAATTGTGCTCCTGTGGCTGTATCTTGGCAGCAAAGAATCCTGCTATTTTCACCATTGATTTCATATAAATCAGGATTATGTCCCAGGCCTTGTTTGTTGCTTGGCTGTTTTCACAAATATTTTACAGTTTTCAGTTTAAAATGAATGAGTGAAAGTGAAATAAATCTATTAATTTATTTTAGACTAAACAGAAAGGCAGGTATGCAAGATTTTTAGTGTTCTATCTTCTAATTGCAAAATTAATCTTGGCTTTGCATTCATCTGATATGCAAAGAATCATAGAATGATTGCCATAGAATGGTTTGGGTTGGAAGGGATCTACTTTCAACCCCCAAATCTTGATGTATGGCAAGACCACTCAAAATGCAGAGCTGCATCCCCATTCTCCAGAGCACAGGGAGTCATCACCATGGTGGAGATTTATTTTAATATAGTCATATACAAACAACAGTTCAGAAGATTTCTTAGTTTTACTTTCCAGATTCTTGTTTCTAGGACAGGTTAGCTGAACTAAAAAAATTAATCACTGAATTTAACAAATGTTTTATTATACTTTCAAGCTCTACTTTGTAAGTACTTCATTCCTATTTCACATGAAAGACTACAGCTGCCCATGGCAATGCAGCTGCAGATGTTTAACCAAAAAGGCATCTCAGGTAGAATACAGAAATTTTATGTCATAATTTTAAATCTTTCAGCACTTTGAGTGCCTCTTCGTGGTGGCAGTGTTGGGTAGACTTGTCTCTTTGTCCTGACCTCTCCAAAATTTCATTCTTCTACCTCATTTCCTATGAGGTAGAGGCAGGATATCTAACATATTAAAAAGAATCTATTAAAAGTTTAGAAAAATGTCAGAATTAATTTAATAATAAATAAATGGAAAGTTTTTCAAATTGCCTTGTGTAAACATATATACCTATATATATAAACTTAATTGACAGATTTTTATTAAACAAGGTTCACTAGAGTCTCTCAGTATTCTGGTAAAATTACCAGCTCAATTTATCCTTAGCGGATAGAAGGCACCAGGATGTGCACAAATGACATGCATTCTGCTCAGCTGAGGGCCAGGCACAGCAGTCCTTTCTTCTCTGTTGACAGTTGCTTTTTTGTAGGGTCTCTGAGAACAGAATTAGGTGAGTTTTGAAAAAAAATTCTTATCTCTGCATTTGACAGATGGAGACAGTGCTAACTCAGTCTCTTCCTCTATGTTAAAGGTTCATTGAAGTTTTCCATTATTTGCTAACAATTTGCTTGTCATATGAGCACAGCTATTTAGAGGATATATTTTGTTTTCCAAAGTGTCAGTGACATTATCACAGTTATGTGTACTGCACAGAGACCCATACTGCTGACATCAGATTCTTCCTAATATGAACATTGTTTTGCTATGGTCACCAAAACCACAAATCTGCACCTGGGTTGATCGTTCTGGTGATCAGACATTTAAAAACTTTAGGGCTTGGTTCAGCATCTTCAGCATAGCACAGTGCCAATTTTCATGTGTGTTAATTCCGAAACTGCAGTGAAAACACGTGCTAGGCACTGAATGGTTGATTACAGGATGATAATTAGCACTGTGAGAATCTACATGAAGTTCTGCAAGGCAAAGGAACAAAAGCCAAAGCAGACTTCACGAGATTAACTTTGAAGGCACTTTTGCTTGACCACAAATTACAGTTCCTAAAAAAGGACACTGCTAACTTACCTAAAATATATACCTGTTGGTCTTAAGAGAGCAAGTTGTTCCCTAATTGGTCACAGCTTGAGAAGGGTGGTGATTCTTTCACTTTGCTGCTTGAGGCCAGTTTTGGGTGATATTAGAGTGACTGCAAGCAGAAATGGAAACAGAATGAACCAATCTTACAGCTGTTCCAAAAAGCAATTCTACCTGAGTGACCAAAAGAGCTTGTGTACCTTCAAACCTAAAAACTTATTGAGACTATCAAGATGAAATTGCTTTCTCTACATTAAAATCATTTTGTCTCTTAAAAGAGTTCCATTAAAATCTTGAAAGGCTGTGAGTAAAAAAAATCATTTCTCCAAGTTTGCAGTGGAGCAGCATCAGTTTCAAAGGTTTTGGTTTTCAGGAGCTGTGCTGGTGCAATATTTTACATTTAGATAGCACGTCTCACCAGAAGGATCCCAAATCACTGTACAAGAAGTGCATGAAGGAATTGTCTCCTTTAACCATCCAAGACATGCAGCCACCTATAAAGTCGAAGAGCATAGCCCACATGACACAACTCAACACAGACAGTAAACACAAATGCAACAGGAACACCAAATCCAATGTCCCCATTCAGTGGACCCAGATTTGGACAGGTCAAGGCTGTTATCTAAACATCCTTACCAAAAATTTTTAAGACATCTCCCTTCTTGCTAGCTATCTTTTGAAAAACATCTTTGCCCTGCAACAACCATTTCAGTATTATCTCAGGTGAGCTCTGAATCACTCAGCTGCTGGCATTGCAGCCAATGCTGCCTTTAGGAAGGGCTGAAGGGCTAAAGCCACCAGAAGGCAGGTGGCTTGAGTCCAAACTCTTCCAAAGTTGTACACAGCTTCCCACAGAAGAAATGCTGTATTATGTCCCTCACCACACCCTTCTGTCTTAGGAAGATGGTATATACTCATAGCTTGCACCACTGTCCTGCAAATGCTGTTGTGAAGGCCTCACCTCCTTTAGAGCATGAAACATGCATGGTATGATATGGTATGATATTCTGGCTTAGAGTCATATAAATGGGTTACCTGATTTGCCCTCTTGTTGTGCGTAGGTCAATAGAAATCACCTCTGGCTTGGAATGTTTTGCAAATCACTCTGGGTGCTGCCAAAATAATAAAACAGAAATTCTTGTTCAGAAAATTTCAAAATTAGCACAGGAAACATGACTGAATTCAGCTGTGGACTCATCTAGCTTCCTCTAATGCAAGCAAAATAGTTTTATATGGAAACAAGACAGTTAATTGCTGCACTTCATATAGTGAAATACAAATACTTTGAAACTACCTGCATAAAAATACATTAAAGGGATTCACCTGCATTTCCTCTCATCTACAATCAGTTGTTCTTATTGGCAACATACATCCCTCTGGAAAAATCTTCCTCATCTTGATGATAAAAGACATTTTGCAATGGAGTTGTATAAAAGCAGGAGTCAAGCCATCTGAGGTCAAATCATCCAAACACACCCATTAAACTTCCCCTTTATTGCTGTACTTGAATAATCACAAATATTGTCACTATTTTTTAACAGTTTTAACCAAACTAAAATTTTTATCTTCATCAGAACCTACATTGTGTTAAAGAGACATTACCACCTCAACATCTTTTTCACTTTGCACAGAAATGGCCAGGGAGGTCTTAATCTAGCAGGAATATGTACATGTACCACATGGAAAGTAAAGAAGGAGGGGAGGAGAAATTAAATTTTCAAGAAAAAATAAAAAATGCATTTTAGTAATTCAAAACACAGCAGAGAAATTGATGCTGCATCTTTAAATAACTTGAGAAATGTATTTCACCTTTAATTCCCCGTTTTCCTATTCAGAACAAGTGCTGCCCAGGACTGGTTTTCGAGCGGATTCCTCTGGCAAGTATTCTTCAGCCTTTGTTTTCTGTAAACTAGTTGTCCTCCATTTTATGTTTTAGCTATTCTTCTTTTTTTAATCATTTCTCAAGATGATGGACAGTCTTGACTGCCCAGTCACCATTTTATTGTGTATGATCTTTGTGGGGTTGTAAAATGCTTATGCCAAACTTTTTTATAATAGATTTGCATTTTGAGCAAGGAAAGATATTTCTTTTTCCTCAGCCAGTTTTTATGTTTTACTGTGTTTTATGTGTACTTTCATATTAGTGTTCACTCTTTAGCATAAAATTGCATCTCTATAGCTCATGCCCAAATCTAAGCCAAATATTTTTTTTGTATCTGAATTTACTTCTGTCTTAACTTTATCACCAATTCCTTGCTTTCATACTTATATCTTGTGCTGTAAAAATATAAAAGAAAAAGCTTTCAAAATCAAGAGATTTTTGGAGTGTTTTAGTCAACACTGATCTTGTAAAATGGCAATGGACTTTTTTAAAAAACAGTAATATTTGATTTCCCAGTATTATCATGCTAAGCGAACAGTTATAACATGCATCCCATACAAAAAAAAAAAAGGGGCTGTTTTGACAATCCTATCAAATTTTTTCTAGTCCTATGCAAGCTGGACAGAGATCCTAAATTAAATATAACATTGGACTGGTTTTGCATAAAACAGTAGGGTTCATACATTGAATTACTCTGTTAGCACACCAGTTCTTTTTTCTTTTCTTTGATGATTTTCATACTGAATTTTTTATTTGCCAGCTTTCCTCTCTATAAATATCAAGAAGGAATATGTATGCTTTTTTAAAAAGCTAGTTATGTTGCAGAGCAGCAGATCCCTGACTGCTTCAAGCTTTTCATATCTTTCAAAGGCATCTGAAACTCAGATGAAGTTACTGTAGTTTTGTTTCAATCCCAATTCACAATTTATAGTTATTTGTATGAAACAAAAATCTTCACTATCTTCAGCAAAGGAGTCCAAATTAATTTTTCTTTTCAGTAGGTAGCTGAATACACCCAGAAAGACTGAAAAATTATTACAGCAAAGCACTTCATCTTTCCTTTAATTGCAATATAGAAGAGATTTAATAAAAATTTTATATCAACATTTACAGGATCATCCTGAACATTTGCAGGTTCATCACTGTAAAATCACATAGCACTTGTTCAATTTGTCTCACACAGAAAATTAATTAAGCATTTTCAGGTGTATATTTTCTCAACATTTAAGAACCAACTACACTCGTGCATCTCAGTGTGTTGTCCACCCAGAGATTCAGAGGAATACAGTGCAGAAAGGAAGCTGGGAGCTGATAATCACATCCTCACCTGTGAGATCTCGCTGTTGTTCAGTAACAATCTATTCTGGTACCATTACATTTAAAGCAAATCCCCCATCATTCAGGAACCAGAAAGAATTTCCCAATGCTCTTTACCCTCCTCACTGTGCAGGGATGATCAGATCACAGCTTGTCCAATACCATTCTCAAATTCATGGGGGAGCCAGCTGGTTTTATAGCCTAGCAAAGTGAATTGGTGTGATTTTTTTTCTTCCAGGCCAAATGAACTGTTAAGAAAGTTTTCCTTCACACAAAAAGAAGAAACAAAGTGGTATAACAATAAAGAAAAAAGAGATTTAAGTTACGAGCAGGCAAAGTTAAAGTTGTTTTTCTAATATAAATGTGTAGAGAGGCAAGGAAGGACAGGGAGCATTGTCATTCTGGCAGACGGTACCCATATTAAATGAGCAAAAATATTGAATTTATGGTGAAACTCTCAGTAAAACTGGTAGGAGACAGGTCATTGAGGTACATTAAGCTGACTGGAAGGATAAACAAACTGGAAAAGACAGTGTTAATTCGGGATTGGCTTGTCTGCAAACCTATTCATACTTCTTACCTGGCATGAACCACAAGGTGCTAATCTAGGTAAGCAAGAGAAAACAAAAGGACACATTTTCCACAATGACGTTATATTAACCAACAGTTTGTAGTATATTGCAAGGCTCAGGAGTGTCATTTTCTGTAAGTATAGGTAATTTTCTCTGTATGATCAACTGAAAATCTGCTCCAGTAAGAAAACACAAAATTTAGCCTATCTAAAAATCCTTTGTGAGGAACAAAAAAGTACCAGAATCCTAGAGAAGCAAGCACTAGAGGAATATCAGATGAAATTGAATCATTTAAATGGGAGAGAATACTTAATCAATGTATATTCAGGAATATTGAAACTGCTGCCACACAATCATAGGGGCTTTTAGAAAATCTATCAAACATGAGCTCCTGTGAAAAAGTACAAAGTAGTGAACAATTTACCTGTCTTTCAAACACAAGAGAAAGGATCTCAGCAGCAGCAAGGCTTTAGAACCTGTTTTTGATCAAAGACTAAAACTGCCGATGTGGAGATAAACCAAGAGCTGTGCAAAGGGAGTTTAGCAAAAGTTGGTTGGTCTAACCAACCAACTAACCTGGCACTAACCTGGCAACTGATTTTTTTACACCAAACAAGTGATATGTGCTTAATTAATCTATATTTTCCATTTTAAAAAATGACAGTTATAATTATAACAATTCCATGTTAGCCTGGAAAAGACAGTGCTTAGCATGAAATGTAGAGATGAATGGCTAGAAAGCAGCTAAGCAATTCTACTAGAAGAATCTGGACTGAAAGATTAATGTTATTGGAGAGCCTTTCAATAAGTCTTCTGTCTTATTTCATGAATCTCTTAGGCACATAAACCAAGGGTAGAAGTCAGGTCCACTTTCAGAGATGTAGGTTCAGGAATCTATGGTGCAGCTGTCTCCAGAGCAGTGGAAAGGTGATCACTCATATCATACCCAACATGAAAGCTGAAACAGCACAGAGGTTTGTGTACCAGTCAGTCACTGGAGATACTGTGACATTATGATATTACTGCAAGGTGGGTGACCTAGTGACAAAGGCCACAAACCAGCTCAGTTGCCAGTGTCTTCTATGCCTGTGTCTGTGTCGGTAAGGTCTGTGTGCTGTTTGCTTGCAGAGGTTTGCAATAACAGGAAGCTAGACTTGATGACCCAGGGATCCTTTCCAGTTTTGCCTCCTTAGTGGGACTGAAAAGAACGTTTTTTTTTTTTTTTAAACGGTTTTCAGTGACTCTTGGCAGACAATGGACTCCACAGAATTCCAAGTCTTTGGGAAGGAACATTGTAGCCCAGTCATTTGATCCAAAGGCTTCCAAACTGTGTTAGAAAAGTATGCCCCTATACAGTATTTTTAACCTAAACTTTTTCATGGTCGAGCTGGCTTATCTATTCCACTCTAAATGGGGTAGAAAAACAGCATCTTTTAAAAAATAAATAATGCCCCTTATTTTAGAGTCTGTTGCCAGCACTGGTTTGGCTCAGCTTTGTCAGTGTATCTGAGTGATGTTTTCATCTCAGTTTGCCAGAGCAAGTATTCTTCACAACCTGACATTCTTACATTTTCTTATTGTATTCCCAGCTGTGCATATTCATTCACTTGTACACAATAAAGGCAGTGCTCAGGTTGTGACAGACTGCTGGAACAGTGCCTTTGAGTGTTAAACCTGGGTTTCAAATGCTGATCACACTGTGTCTATCTACAAAAACATCTCCCTAGTGCTAAGCCCCATCCTGGTAGGCACAACAAACCTGATAAAGTACTGCTTTCTTCTGAAATTCCTCTGCCTCTCACAACTTTTAAATTATTTGCATTAAGCTAACATACTGTACACACCCAGAATTCATTTGCTCCTTAGTGTTGAGACACATCAAATAAATGGGAAAAGTCAGTATAATCAGCTGCTTGGTTCTGTTTGGGTTTGTCTTCTCAATATATGGGAAGGAAGTTGGTAGGGAAAGGTAATACATTTATTTTACCAATTGAAATATTTGTGATTCAGTCTCACTTTCACCAATACAGATTGTTGAAACAATGCACTATGCTGCTGTTTACAGGGGATTTTGTTGCACAGTCATAGTATAGAGCCAGTGCATGTCTTTCTGTATCTGTCTTTGCAATAATACCTGACTGAAACTAACCAGGCTTTAATCCCAGACTACACATGGCACATGCCAAATTCCACAGTTTATGAGGTGCCCACAGATGGCTCTGAGGGGAGATCTGTGAGAGCTGCTGAAGTATTTCAGCCATCTGTAATCCCTCCCATTCTGAGGGACCAAGGCACCACTGGAGACACTTATGAGCAGTTTGCTGAAATAAACTTTGCCATCCCTTTTTTATGTTGGGGTCAGCAACAAGCTGACACTGACCAAAAGCTTTTGTGTTCACAATGTATAGACCAGAGTGCAATCCATAGCAAATGCCATTCCTGTTAATCACTGCTTTAGGTGGTGAGCCTAAAGCATCTCTGAGAATGCAGACAGCAATAGTCACAACAGACAACAGGTAACTTCTTAGTCCTCCAAATATTTACAGTTTCTATTATTATTATTATTATTATTATTATTATTATTATTATTATTATTATTATTTATTATCCCAGAACACTGTGTTCTTTCAAGTGAAGCTAAAGACACTTTTATAAGAAACTGACTTTAAAAAGACTCTATATTCCTCAACTGATGTATTACAGGACATCATATATGTATGTAAAGACACGTTAGGCAGGCATATGGAAGTGCAACCTTATTGATTCACAAAGCTGTTGAGACTTTAATTGAGTAGCATTAAGGGGTTCAAGTTAATGATGTTAGCTTTCAATTTAAACTCTGAGGCTGAGAGGTTTATAATTATAATTTTCATCAAAACTCCTTATTGAGGGTACTACCTGGAAGTGGAATTTTTCATTACATAAAAAGACATATATATGTGTCTGTGTTTGGAACTTAGATGGCCTGTAATGGTTTTCATATTTTGTGAGTTGGACTGATATATCTCTGTCTCCCATTTCAGTTTATTCTTTGTAGGATTTAATGAACTGCAGGGAAAAGACAAATTAAAGATCAGAAGTGGATGAACAGCAGTCAATTATACAGTCAGTTTTAGGAAGAAGACATATTTTTAACCTCTACTTTGGACAGACTTTTCCATACCAATCTTCTGTGAATGCATTCTAGTTTGCTTTAGTGTATTCTACTGAACATAACCACCTAGAGAGAGAGAGACACCTACATTTTCAATTCTCCTCCTTGTCTGTGGCCCATTTGTTTCCACCAGCTCCAGCCAGGATGCCATTAGTCATGTGCAGTGAACACAAGGTGGGAGGGATTGGTGCAAATTCTCAAGATAAGACCAAAATGTTTTGCTCAATGGGATTTCTCTTTAAATCAGGTCCCGATTACAAGGAGCTGGATGTTCACCTTCGGAGAATGGAGTCTGGGTTTGGCTTCAGGATCCTGGGAGGAGATGAGCCTGGGCAGCCTGTGAGTTATTTCTTCCTGATTTCCCTTTTCCTTCCACATTCTATAATCTGTGTAAAGGTCAGAAAAATATTACTACATAACTGAAACCAAATGAACACCATGTTAAGGCTACAAGTAATATTACTTTTATTCATCCATAAAAAAGCCCAGGACTCTCAGGTTTTTCACATCTGAGAATTAAGATAGAATAAGAAGGCACTAAAGTGGAAACAGAGCATCACTCATCCCATTACTGCAGAGTGTGACCTGGCATCTCTTAATCTGGACTTTTCAAAATCAAGTATAAGCAGAAGGTTCCAAAATTCCAATTATGTAAGACTATCCAAAACCATGTTCAGAGTAGACAACTTGTATGCAAAATGTATGCATGTGGTTAAATTACATGGTCAACAAAGCAGTTTATTTCCAGAAACAGAAGACCTTACCACAGAGTGATAGTCAGTGTTCCAGGTTAAATGACAGCCTCATGTGAGGCAACAGGCATAAAAATGATAGCTTTATACCATTAGGAGGGAGGCACCCCTGTAACCAAATAACAGATAACAAAATGAATATAGATGGTTTGCTAATAAAATATAAAATAAATCTTATGCACAATATTTAAAAGAAACAGTGTAGAAGCCCAGAAAATAAGGGTCAAATGTGTAAATTTACACATTTACAAATGTGTAAATATTTTTATAAGTTACTGATCTATCTAAATACTATAATTTTGAGAGCAGGCAGAATTACTGGTCTTTGAGAAAAAACTCAATGTTGTATCTATAATCTGACAGCTAGGACTAATCTCAAGTCAATAATGATAATGCTTTACTATCACAATTTTAAGCAGTTTGAATCTTGGGTTACTACATTTCTGAGATAATGTATAATTAATTATTAGATTTGTATATTCCCTAGTCTATTTATATATTCCATATTCCAGTAATACAGAATAATATATTTTTCATTCAAGAATTAAGGTTAACCAGCACATGCCTTTGAAAAACAAAGAAGCTCTTATATTTTAAAATTGTCAACATCTGTCAAAGTACTGATAAGTCTTCACAGTTTACTGATGTCTCCCATAATAAGAAAAGAATGCATTGTATTCTAAAAATTATGCTTCAAGTCTGTTTGGAACTCAGTCTAGTTTAGAATAAGTGTTTTCAATGGTTTTTCAAATGTAAAGTGTAGCTGCTCAGAAGGACTCCAAGACAGCACTGCTTCATCCTCTGCACTTGCAGTGTGGCTGAAGCCCCTCTGATGTGTAACTTCCTTCTGTGGAGCATGGCCCAGTGCACATAGAATGAGGCCACTGAGCCATCATCTGCACATTCTCCAAATGAGCATTTTTCATGTCCCTTCTGGACAGGCCAGCCAGTATAAATTCTCAAAGTACACATACTGGGTCAGGCCAAAAAGGAAATCTCTGAGGTGTTAGTGGAAATGTTCCATTTTATCTTCTCAGATTGTTAGGAAATGGCACTAGAAAGGCACTACCTTTAAAACCAGGCTGGCTGGAGCTTTGAGCAACATGGTGTAGTGGAAGATGTCCCCATCCATGGCATGGCAGGGAGATTGGAGTTAGAGGAGTTTTTATGTCCTTTCCAACCCAAACCATTCTGTGTTCTAGGAAGATTTGGAAATCTCCTTCTACCTGCTCCAGAAAGTAATGTTTAATGGCATTTCCTATCTCCCAGGAATGACCAAGTGACTCTGGTTACAGGGCTGCTCAATATTTTGTGATATTTGGTGACAGCAATATTTGGTGTCTCCTTTAGTGCTTTTTTCATTACAAATGGATAATTAAGCAGTCGCTTGTTGGAGGTTTATGACAATCTCCTGGGGAAAAGTGCAGCTAAAATGCCTTATCTAAAAGATGATTTTTTTATATAAAACTGAATTATTTCAACCCAAAGGACTAAGAGAAAACTTGTGTAGCATATCTGATATTCTGGTAGCTCATATCCATAATACATACCAGAGTTGTGAGAGACTTGAGTCTCTCAGGCTGCTCAGCAGTCCAGTGGAAAAGAAATTTTCAAGCAAGCTTTTTGTCCTGCAGCTACATGCATTATACACTGAAGTATTACAGAGGATCAGCTCTTTCTAGTGTCTCTTCAGCAAAGGACTGACCTGACTTTACTGTCTGAAGTCAAAGAGCCGTAGCTGGGTATCAAGGGCAGAGATAAGCACCTTGCTATTTTTGGAGAGCAGGACCAAAAACGCTGCCCTTTGTGAACCACCCTGCAACACATTTCCCTGTCCTGTTGAACAATTGCTCTCAGCCTGCCCTTAGCCTCAAGGTTGCTGTCTCTGTTCCATGGTTTGCACACACAAAAGCATTTTTCCCCAAGACTTATCAATCCAATGGGCTTTACGTGGCTTTGCAAACATTTCTCAAAGTCTCCAGGAGTTAAGAAGAGCCTAGCTTGAAGCTGAGGATTGTGCAAGGAAAAAAGAACTTTCTTAGAATTAAGTGTGGCAGTGCTGAGGTTTTCAATTCTCACTCCCTCCTGGTTGTCCATCTTGTTTTCACTGCTCAAATTTAACACCAACAAACACAACTCATGTACTCTTTTTAGTGTCCCTCTATTTCATATTCACAATACAAGACTTCTTAACTCTGTTCTCTCTCCTCCACTGCTTCCCTGCCCCCCATGGACAGCCCACCTGCAGCCTCCCATTCCTTTCACTCCAGAAAAGCAGAAGCAGTTTTTGCCTGTTCTCCAAACCCCTGCCTTTCCCATGAAACAAGAACTGAGAAGCTTTGAAATTTTTATTTCAGCTCTCCTGCTGTGCCGTCAGGTAACACGGAACAAAAGGAAGCTTTTGTCTTTGTGGTTTGATATCTAAAAAGAAATATGGATTCTTCAGCATAAGGCAATAACTTTTTCAAAGATGCAGAATCCAAATAACATTATTTTAGAAGGATAATACTGACACTCTAGAGGGACTGTAGCTTAGTTTCCTTCTAGTTATATCAGATACCTGGCATCTTAGAAGGAGAAAATGCTGCTGTACTACTCCACTTTCCATATTTGTGAGCGTAAAAATACTTTTGAAAGGAAATACTTAAATTTATTGTGAAATTTCAAATATCAAGACTGTGAGTTGTGCTCTCAAGTCTTATATTGCACTACAACAGCTATTTATCACATGTCCCACTAACTTGAGGATTTAGAGATAATCTCTGTTACGGTGAATCATAATATTACTGAAAGATTGCAAAAACACATAAATTGGAACTTTACTGAAGTTGCAAATTGCTGTCCCAAAGGGGAGATGTATTTTGCATATATTTGTGCAGCTCAAACTCAGAATCCCAGGAACATACACATAATTTTTCTAAGAGTTTTACCTTTTCAACATGGACAACTGGGATTTTTCTCAAAACTGTCCTCAAGATATATGTTGTATTCTGTTATTGTCAATGCCAAGATATATTCTAAGTATCTTTCTACATTTCTAAGACATAGAGCAAAATGTTAGGATAAGGCCATGCCATAGAGCAAAATGTTAGGATAAGACCATGCCTTGGGAAGTCCTATTTTAACAGTGATTAGACAGAGTTCAGGTGATTAGCTTGGATTTAGACAACCCTGACACTTCAAATTAGGTAAATCACCCTTTATGTGTATATACTTAAATTTTGCTATGTGCCTGTGAAGCTACTGTGTTATATTCAGAAAAACTAATACAAATTCAGATAATTGCCAAGAATCACAAAGAAAGTCAATGTCAAAGTAGATTAACCTGTATAAATTAATAGACACGGGCTTTAATTTCAGATAAGGCTCTGCCACAATCATCCTAATCCCAGAATTTGTCCTGTTTAATCTCAAACAATAGGAGAAACTTTTCTTTTTTCTCTGCAACACACTCTTTATTACTACATGCCATCATCCTTCTCATTATGCATTCAAAGCCATCTCATGCCAGTATGAAACTGTATTTCAGAGGAAATATAATCCTGATATATATTTTTCCAATTTGTGCTTTACATGTAGAATTGATAACTATTATGGCAGCTTCTCAGCCATAAAACAAAAGCAGATACTTCATAAGAAAAAAATTCAGACACAGAAAATGAAAAAGTTAGGGAAATTAAATTATTCTTGCTATTAAATATACCAAATAATAGATATAGGAGCCATCATCTTGACAAACACACCTAGCTGAAGTGTTTAAAGTATGACTCTGCTTATGTTAGGAATCCAACACTGAGATGAGTAACACAATCACATTTCATGGTGGACATGTGAAATATCATCAATAATTACTTAGATCTAGAAAAAGTTTTTCTAGTTTCCTTTGTGTACCAATGACCTACCATGCTATGTTCTGCATTTTTTTTACAAAGGTTAAAGATGCTCAACTTGTTTAATATTTTGTCAGAAAATTATGAAAAAACTGCAAATGTTCAACAAAGGAGGAAGCCAATCCCTACAATCTCCCAAGCTGTAGAGGGTTATCATCCATCTCTTCTCAAAATAACTAGGAAGAAATTCTTACTCATGTGAGATGCCTAATTCTCAAATGTTTTGAGAATACTTTGTGGATATCTAGCTAAAAGTAGCCTTGGAGAGCTTTTCTTCTGTCTGGTAAAGGAGCATAAATTCATATTTCATGGCTGAATTTTGCACAAAGTATTTTCCAAAGCTTTGAGGTCTACTTTTTCACCATTTGAAGAACAGGATGGAGAACCTGAAACAGCCTCTCTAGCCACTCAGCCTGTCACTGCTTAACAGGATCCCAGGAACACCAGAAAGCAGGAAAAAGCTGCATCATATTCTCTCTTTGCTAAGTTTTGAAAGCAAAAGTAAGCCAAAGGGAGGTGAAAAACTGGGGAAAATTCTCCAGGCTCCACAGGGGATGTCATTTAAACACTATGCTGAGATACTTGCAACTCTGCAGCTAAGACCAAAAAAACCACAGGTCACCTGTGTGATGTGTGATTACCACTTCTAGCCTTTGCAATTCATCATGAAAAGCAATACTTCAGAGCTTTTATCTTTTATTATTAAAAGCAGATTGTCACATGGCATGTCATATCCATCATTTTAGGCTCACTCTCAGACTGAAAAAGAGAACAGAAAATTTGAAACACGCTCTGTGAATGCTTTAATATTCTTTCAAAGAGAGCAGGTTTGGTTTGAATCAATCTCAGCTGTTCTACCAGTTATTCCACAGGGAAAATATATACATCTTCTTCTAGGAAATTATGTGAAATTATCTGCATATAAGGTGGAGAAAGTCATTGCAATGTTTTGGACAGATTTTTTACTAGTTTATATGACCCATACAAACTACATTTCAAAGTCAATTTGGGAAAACAACATCTGCCCAGAACAAGCTGACATTTTTTCCTCTTTTTTCCATTTTAACCAAGCACTACCTGAGCAATCATTCATTAAGAGTAATAACATTTAATATAGTAGTTCTTTTCCCCTAAAGAGTCCCAAAGCCAGCTCTGTGTAGTGGGGTCACTTCAACTGCTGACCTCAGCTATATGTCTCCAGGTGCTTAAATCACACAGCAGTGAAGAACCTTTGATAAGAAATACACAGACTTTATAATTTTAAATAAAAAGACCCTTATATGGAATTAATCTTTTTAAGTCTTTGTTATAATGTAGTCCATAGAAACTCAACACTCCTTAGAGGCAGATTATCTTGATTTGAACATATCAAGCAGGACTCAGATTAGGATTCCCTGGTGTATTTCTCGTGTGCAGGTTGGAAACTGTGGTTTTGGGGTCCCCTGGATGGAGGAGGAATTGATGAATTTGACTCCATGTTCTTAGAAGGCTAATTGATTATCTTATGATATTATATTATATAAAGAATGCTATACTAAAACTATACTACAGAAAAGAGAAAGGATGCAGACAGAAGGCTAAAAGACTATAATTAAAAACCTGTGACTCTCTCTTCAGAGTCCAACACAGCCTGACTGTGATTGGTCATAAAGTCAAAACAATTCCCATGTTGAATAAACAATTTCCAACCACATTCTAAAGCAGCAAAACACAGGAGAAGCAAATGAGATAATATTGTTTTGCTTTTTCTCTGAGGCTTCTCGGCTTCCCAGGTGAGAAATCCTGGGCAAAGAGGATTTTTCAGAAAACATGATGGTGACAGGAAACACCTTACCTTCTTACCAAAGACAAGAAAACATCTTCAGTCATACCCACCAGAGGACAAACACAGCTTTCAGACACACACAGAGCTCTTCACATGTGCTAAATCACTAGCTTAATTTCACAAGAAAGAGAAAATCACTGCAATGTTCATGTCACTAAATGGGAGTCTCAGTGCAATATATGACAGGATTTTGTTTCTTGCCTAGATTCTCATTGGAGCAGTGATTGCCATGGGCTCAGCAGACCGAGATGGCCGTCTCCACCCTGGTGATGAGCTGGTGTACGTGGATGGGATTCCAGTGGCCGGGAAAACCCACCGATACGTGATTGATCTGATGCACAACGCCGCCCGAAATGGGCAGGTGAACCTTACTGTGAGGAGAAAGGTGCTACCCACGGGTGAGTGAAGGCTGGGAAAGGCAAAAGGAAAAACAGATCCCAATGCTGGCAGCACAAACTGGTGCTGTTTTAAAATAATAGAGGAAATCAATGTGAATGTTTGTGTCATTTTGAGGAAAGAATTATTGTAAATATGTGTCCCTTGTTCCTCTGGCAAAAACAACTGCGTGTTGTTTCCTTCAGAAGTGGAAACATACTGGCAACCCTGGTGTGGTGATCATAAGTGCTCTGGGTTTGTTCCATGCTGTCTTGGTCTGTGCTGTCTCCTTTTGTCCACTTTTGGGACTAAACATTCACCTAAGTTAAAGCCATTTGAGCTGACTGTGTCAATAAGAGAAAGGCTCAAAGACTGTTAACTGTTTTAGGGCAGGAACTCATTTCACTCTTATATGTGTTAAAAGCCCATTTCTGGTCTCACTGATGTCATCTGGAATTTCCCACTGAACTGCAATGCAAGCTGGCTGAAAATCTTCTGTAGGGCACAAGGGCCGGATTCTTCCGTCAAGCAGACATATTCAGAAAATGAACCTAAACCACTATGAAGTATTTGTAGTAAATTAGATGTTTAGACTAACTCAGTCTCAATTGCTAAAAGACATCAGAACCTTGAAAAATACATGTGGCAGCATCTATTAAAGCTTTAATGGGATAATTTGATGACCTTCCATTACAACCATTACTTACTTGAGGAAAGAAGTCTATTTAAGAACTTTTAAAACATTTTTGGTGAGTACACCTGCCTGAGGTACCAGAAATGAGCAAAACCACATTCCCAGCCTGTCCTGTCTTCCGCCTGCCCGTGCCCCAGATCCACTGTCACTGCCTGCGCCGTTCCCCTTCGCTCCTGTGCCAAAAGAGCCGCCCTCCCACTCACCTTCGTCTTCGCAGTCCCCCTCCCACTGCGGCACCGCAGCTCCCTGCCAGCCGTGCTCCTGCAGGACTGACTTTCTTCTGTTACTGACTCCAGACTCCTCCAGCCAGAAAGGGGCCCCCGCGCCTGGTGCGACGCCCCCTCGCAGCTCCCCCAGCGCGAGGAAAATGGCCAATAACCAAGGTAATGACCCGAGCCCTCGCCGCCAGCGCCGCACGCACCGCGGGCAGGGCTGGCACAGAGCACTGCCGGCCTTCCCTGATGCTCCTGAAATATTAAAGGCTCTGCCAGCCACTCTGGGATCCTGGTGCAAGCTGGTAAAACACCTGAAGTTATTCTTGGGCCTTGAGAGTGCCACACCAGGGAGCATGGCATGTAGCTCATTAATGTATGAGCATTTTGGGAGCTGAACAGGGTTTTAATGTGGTGTGTTACAACATAAGCTCTGTGGAAGAATTTAAAACAACTGGTGTTGGGCGTGACTGAAAAAGGCTATGCTAATACATCAGGGCAATTGATTTCATGGGAATTTTTCACGAGCATGAATGTATGCAACAGAGGGATCTGGGGTTTTCCTTACCTGTCTGTAGCTGATACACATATCTTAGCCGTCGCCTGGAATTACCATTTTGTACATATACTTACCCAGATCTGGAACAGGAAAGCACAATTCACAAGATCTGGAAAACAATTTGATTAGGAAAATGTGATTTTTGGATTGAAATGCCATTTTTTCACAGGCAGGAGAAAAATGTAACTTTTGTGATGAGTATCTATTGTACAGTTGACAGTCAAATAGCCATTTAAGCTTTTCCTCCTTTTTTATTCTTTTCCTATATTTAATGACATTCAATTGCATTCTTTCATGGCCAGGCCAGGTCTTGGTCATTCTACAGGGCAAGAGAATTTCCTTTCTGTTGCAGCCATAATGACATAAACAATATTCCCCTTTCTGAAACACGACAGCCAGAAAATGAAAACTCTCTTGTCACTTACTATGGCATTTAGTTGCAGATTTGGTTCAATAACTCTTAGAGATTTTCAGGAGTATAATAATTGTTTGTTTTCCTTCCTCTTTGTACTCTCTAATTACTTTATTTCATAGTTGCAGAAGGACTACTAAAGGACACACCTGACTGAGAAAACAACAGCTTGTCCTTGGATGCTGTTTATTTTATTAATATATACACACACTGAAAATCTAATTTGTAAACTCTCTACCTAGGATGTATGTGTATATGTGGGAGCTCCTCACATGTTCAGTAAAATTACTCTGCCACTCTTGTTGTTCCAAACAGAAAACATAATACTTACAATTATCTGAAATTTCTGTATTAAAACTGTCAAGCAGTGCTGATTTATGTAAACAATTTAGATCTGTAAAGAATATAAATCTTTTTGTTTCCATCTGGAAGTGTAAATTTACTGTTTTCAATTGCCAAAATGCTCACACAAAAAATATGTAATCCCACAAGCTTTAACTTGTTTCGTGTTCTTGTTAGTGTAAAGCAATACTAAAGTGTACATGGACTCCATTTTCATTTCTGCTCTTTTGAACTTGCCAAACAAGAGCATCTCCAAACCTTTAAATGACCACTGCTTCTGCCATGACACCCAAGAAAAACTACTTGTGATGATTTTGCATTGTATAACAGCTCTGCTCTTTGAACATTTTTTGAACAAGCTAATCAACTCATAAGAAGAACATTATGCAGCTAATCCTAATTACTCTGTTAGCTCCCTGCTTAAATTCTTGTAATCCAAACACAAATAATTTTTTATTGGATTAGACAGTGACGTCTTCCTCTTGATGACAGATCTACCAGCAGACAAGGAAATAGCGCCTGGTGATGGTTTTGCAATCCAGATAGACACAGTTTCATACTTTCCTCTCTTGTAGCTAGTGTAGCAGTCAGTGTTCATGCTTGCTTTATCTGATTGCCCTTGAATGCTCTGCATAATTGTGTAGATGCCTGTCTCTCTGCATCTATTACAGCTCCTAGTTTAACACTTGGGGTAGTCTGCTCTGCAGACAGTCAGCTGTACTCACGTTGCATCAGCAAATGCACTGCAAGTAACAGAGCCACCGAGCAAGTCAGGCCGTGACACTGGTGTGATTTATATTGCAGGAGAACCCTGCCCAGAGAACGGCAGAAGCCCAGGCTCAGTGTCTACTCACCACAGCTCTCCCAGAAGTGACTACACCACCTATGCCAACAGCAACCATGCCGTGTCCAGCAGCACGGCCACGCCGCCCGAGGGCTGCGCGTCGCACAGCCTGCAGAGCAGCGACGTGGTCATCCACCGCAAGGAGAACGAGGGCTTCGGCTTCGTCATCATCAGCTCCCTCAACAGGCCCGAGTCTGGCTCCACCATAAGTGAGTAAAGCAGCTTTTCAGTTCATAGCTCTCCCAGTTTGCCCCAAATAAAATTTTTAAAAACCCGCTGTCGCTATAGGACACAGAACAACACGAGCGTGCACACTGCTGCTTTCAAGGTGAAGGAAAGGGAAGTTTATTTTCTGATTCTAACATTTACAGTTTTCTAAAAGTAACAGTGAAAGTGCCACACACTGGACAAACTAACAGTCTATCAAATTTCTCTTCCTCTATGAAGGAGTGCAAAACAATAAGTTATTTACAGAAAGTGTGAGAAAGTTCGTTACAAGAATGCTTAGAAAATCTTAAAAAATCAGGGCAACACTCCACAGCAATAGTTTATTTAAACCTATCTGCTAATAATTTATCACAGCAGAGACTTAAACTGAAATACTTTCAATGTTTATTCAGAGGCACTTCTTGTTTTGTCTTCAACAAAACCAAAAGTTACTCTGTCCTCTGGAGCCCTGTGCTTCCCACACTTCTTTGGCTATCAGAGCAACAGAGGATTCACTCACAAAGTGGATTTTGTCTGTTACTATGTCTCAAAGAGACACTGCAAGTAACAAGTAAGGTTATGTGAATAAATTATTCTCCTACATGGAACTTAATTAGACTTTTTTTTACAATCAAGATGAAGTTCAGCAAGTTGAAAAAAAGCTTAGATCACAGCAAACCCTATGACAAGAGCTGTCCAATTATGGGACTGCAGGAGCAACTAGAAGTTGGGAGAACTTCTTAAGTGCAGGTGATAAGAGGCTGATTTAACTGGGTGGAGTATAGACAGCATAAAAATTACAGCTGAGTACAGGGGATAGGTGTAACTCTCTGTACTCTGTAGCACTCTAAAGGCAAGATCTGCCCTTAATAATTATAGCTCACTTTCTGTCCAGAGGACTGATTTTCTCTGTGAGTCAATTTTATTGCTTTAATATAGACATCTGGTGCCACTTGAGCTGTTCTGGGTACATCCAGGGAGAGGTCAGATAGGTGTGACACAGGACCTACAGAGGACTCAAACCCAGGTAGTGGCAGCTGCAGGCACAGGGGCACCTTTGTGTCTTTCCAGTGACATTTGACCTGAGAGCTGAGCCCTCTGGAAGAAGGAAGCAAAGGAGGCTTTATGTTGAGAGACATCCACATGCCCCACCAAATAATGCTAACCCCAACTGAAAAAACAAAAGAAGGGAGATTTATCATTTTTCAAGTTGAAGCCTAGTACAATGTTTCCTCTACACTAAAATATGTTTTGAAGGAACTGGTTTTTTGCCTGAAACTGGTTCCTGACAAAATAAAATCACAATTTCAACTTCAGGGCCAAACACCATTCTTCCAAATTCATACCTGAAAAGCAGCCAAGAGAATACTGGGAAAACCTTATCTCACAATAGCAAGTTACCTCAGAAAACTTTTTTGCAGTATTTCATGATCATGCAGTTTTTAAAAAAGTTGCTTTTCATGCTACCTCAGCTGAATTTTAAAACTCCATGACTGCTGGAATTAATATTGTAACAAAACCATAGCTAATTAGCCTCTTGGGACTCTGAGTTTTCACATTACTGAATATAATAGCCAAAGAACTGGAAGTTCTTTTGCAGAAGATAAGAAAAGAAAAAAATAATTAATTGTGGTACATATATATTAATAAGTTAAGTCAGTCATGATTTTTTTCATGAAAATTATTTTATTGAGAGAATTTCTGGTTGAGGCAGATGGAGAGAGAAAGAGGAGAGAAAGAGAAAACAAAAAATTCTGTGACTGGAATAGTCTCCTGAAGATTACAGACCCAGGTTCAAAATCCTGCTTTGCCTCCTGCCCTCCAACTTGTTCTTTCAGCACTTTTCTTTCTCCACAAGCAACTGTGTAGGAGTCATTTTTGACGCTCAGTTGAACACCTCCAATAGTAAAGGGAAATGACAGCCTGCTGTGGAAGTGACAAGATAATTTAATCAAATAATAACTGCATGGAATTTCAGTGATCCCCAAAAGTACCAAATCCTAAGTTTACAAGAACAGTGAACAAAAAATTACATTTGCTGTAGACAGTGACAGAAAAGAGAAGAAAATACCCTTCCTATATAAATTCTGTTACAAAACTGTAGTAGGAAAAATATCTTGAAAATTCCATCATCTGTCATCAGTAATGAAAACAATCTAAAAATTATTGACTGTTTCTAGAGTAAGAGAGGTTACTTTCTCTACTTAATATTTACTTGGGTGAAGTCATTTAAGCTTTATTAACAGGAGCGTAGCCAGTAGATTGAGGGAAATGATGATACCCTTTTACTCAGCACTCACTGGCATCCTTTCAGAATACAGCAGCTAAGTTTTGGGCCCTTTGTTACAGCAGAGAAACTCTCCTGAGGTACCTTCTATCTTGAAATAACACAAAATCCTTTTATTGAAATGCACAATCAGAAATACAAAGCATACCAACAGTAGGAAAATATCAAAAATGGATATAGGAATATCCATAATATATGATACATCACTATCAAAATGTGGACCTGCATGGCACCATGCTAGGTACTCCTGATAGCAGCAATATCTTAATTGGGTGAGATATTGTGCTCTGGTTCCAGTGTCCCCTGTTTCAGAGGCAGGGCACTTGTTGCCAGCTCCTGTATCCCCATGTGGAACAGAATGATGTTATGCAGACATGCATGCACAGAGTAATGTTAATGTTCTAATTGCAAAGCAATTCTGAAAACTTCAAAATGGACAAAATAGGTCAAAAAAGGGAGCATCATGTAGTGCCAGACACTGTTAGGAGCAGCACCCAGGAAGTTGTCTCACTGGGAGCATCCTCAGGGCAAAATTAGGAAGGGTTCCTTTAATAATAAGAATGTTTATTTCAATAACTCTATTCCCTCCTCTACTTTCTTGCAAAAGCAAAAGACTTGAGGTCTTGGAAGAATAGGTATCATCACCACTATTACTCAGGAAGGCAATTAATTATGCACTGACAGTATTTTCCTTGTTGTTGAAATCGCACTTACAAACTGTGTTTTACAGTCCAACAGATTACACCAGCTCTTGTGGAGTACAGGAACAGGCACTTTGTGTCACCAGGTACTTCAAGCCCTGCTGAAATTGAAGCATCATTCCAGCAAGGCTGCTCCTGGCTACAGAGGTCTACTCCTGGCTGCTCCTGCAGGGTCATTGGTTTGCTGCTCTGCAGTTGGGCTGAAGCTGGAGGGGTTGCACAAAGCTGTCCTGTTTGCCAGGAGAGTTTGCTCTGTCTGCAGGACCATCCCATGATGGTGCTCCAGCTGAGTCTCAAATCCCTTCTCCACCCTCTGGTGGGTTGTGGGCTGCACTGCTCCCTCACAGCCTCCTTTTAGGAGTGCTTCATGCTCCTTCTGACCTGAGAATGAGCCATGACAGGCTCAGCAGCTCCCAGAACTAGAGATGAAACTCTTTTTCCAAGAGGTTTAGGGTCCTGGTCAGCTTTTCTCTCGATATGGTTTGCAAGGGGTTTGTTGTTACACTTGGTTTATGAGCCTGCCTTTACTGTGCAGACATATTCAAAATACTAAATGCTAGTTTTTTACTATTGATAGACACAGAGTGAGGACAGACTACAGCCATAATTAGGAAACACACTATTCTTTCAGATTTTGTGATGGGCAGCACTGAAATAGCTGTCAGTTTGATAAATTAACATTAAGTACTTTGGAGCCAGCCTTTAGATATGAATGTCATTTTTCCTTACTGGTACTTGCTTAAACATCCAATTCTTGGAGCACACTTATTTTCCTGTGTCTATAAATGGTAGAAATTTTGTTTCCCATTTGTCAAAGCATTGCTTGGGATGTTCTCTAATCCAGCACAAGGGATTATCTTGCACTGAACTACAGTTGTGATGTGGGGAGATCAGGAGTTGAAAACGAATGACAAGGATTGAATGAAGAGATTTTACAGGGCAAAGCAGGGGCCTAGGAAAGGTCAGCCATGCTTCAAAACTGTATCGGTAAAAAGAGATAAAGTGGATAAATAAAGAGCTGTGCTTGAGTGGTATATCCAGGAGCAAGTAATTTTGCCTAGTGCAGCACGCAGAGGATCGTGGAGTGCTAAGAGATTAAGGAAAGAAAATACACCTGTCCAGGCTCCTGACCTATTTCTAACGAAAGGATTAACTTCCACTGCCTCTAAAATATACTGTTGTGCCTTCCCCCAGATCCTGTTCCAACATTAAAGGGGAATGTGGCTCTCATCCCTTCTCCACACATGAGAAATTATATCTAAAATACTTAAATTTAAGTAATTAATCCACATTCGCATTAAATTTAGGGAAATTTTTTTAGGATATCAAGAGAATTTCACTATCTGCAGCCTATGGAAAAGCATTTGCAGACTTCTGGAGGTGACCAGAATGAGATTTATGTCCCAGAATTTTATGGAGTTAATTTTTTCCTGCCTTCTTCATATCTTCCTGTTACTTTTACATTTTGTGTTTGGAATGCAGCTTCATCTAGAATAAGTACTTGTGATCCCCTGTAAATCTCTTTACATCATAATTTTTTTAGAGAGAAACCACGTGTGGTAAACAGACCTTATTAAATTGCAACTTCCAATGAAGTTGGAAAATTGGCAATAGTTCCAGGAATTTCACTGCAGCAGGTACTGTCAATTAGCACAGTTATAAAGTGTAAACAAACTGAAAATACAGGCCTAATCAATAAAAAAATTTCAAAAAATTAAAGACTGTGCATACTTGTTATGATCTTCCTCCTGCTTTGCAAAAGAGGAGTTGTAGATTTAATTTGCCCCTACACTGCATGTGCCAGTGCCTGCTGGAATTTGAAAACAGGATAAAACAGAGTCTAATGAAAGAAGTTTCTTTCATTTCTCAAAACATGCAGTCTTAACTAAAAAACATAAATCCAAGCTAAGCCTCAGCTGACTGCAGAAAACGGCATTCTGAGCAAGTCCCATTCAGCTCAGAGTTTCTTTAAATTCCTTACAGTTTAGAGATAAAAACCAGTTTATTGATCAGT